ATTAAAAGGAGCAATTTATTCGTTTACCACGCTGAGATGAAACATGAGGTCAAACATTATTAATCATAGTTTGCAAGAAGCTTTTTCTCCTTTAAGAAGATTTTAAACAAACGAGATATTAATTTTGTCTGTCATTTTTGATAAATTGTAAAAGTCTCTTGGCTAATTTATAAATGGTAAAATAAACAGTATATTTTTGTCATCACTTTTTGTGAAGGAGTTGTGTAAGTTTATGCACTAGTAGTAGCACTAGTTGTACCTGAACCTCTGCAATGCACGTCGAGTTGACACAGTGCTAATAAAAGTAAAATTACCATTTCCATTTATTAATTTATTATATGTATAAGTATTATACATTATATTTACTAGTTTTCGTAGTCCCATTGACCAAATAATATCTTTCAATTAATTAATCTTTTATGTAAGGTAGTGAGTGAAATTAAAAAGTCAGTGTCACGAGCGGGATTCGAACTCACGGCTAAATACGCCGCTGCTCACCACTTGAGCTATCGTGACTTCCATCCACTCGGACACTAACTTCCCAACTCAACCTATAACCTTTCGAATTTTCCCTCCTTTTTGCCATTTTTCAAATGTCGTTTAATCAGGATTCGATTCTCGGCGACATATGATGTGGCCACGGGGAGGTGTTAGTGAAGTTACTTATTAAATGGCAAAAATGAAAAAGTGGCAAAACGAGGGAAAATTCGAAAGGTTGGGTTGAGTTGGGAAGTTAGTGTCCGAGTGGATCGAAGTCACGAAAGCTCAAGTGGTAGAGCAGCGGCGTATTTAGCCGAAGGTCGTGGGTTCGAATCCCGATCGTGACATTGACTTTTTCATCTCAACCAATACCTTACATAAAAGATTAATTGATTGAATTACACATTATATTTATTTATAGTGTTATTGATTTCCAGTTTCCTAGGGTTTTGGAGCAACAAGATCCCTTGAAACTTGAAAGTATAACTGCTAAATATTACTCAGCTTTGTAAATCATTAGGAGGATCGCGTAGCAGATTTCAGCAATCACTGGCAGCCTTGATGTTTTTCCTCACTCCTCAAGTTCCGATCTCAACCTTTTCAAAGTTTTATTTAAACAATCAAAACAATTTTAAAGGTTGTTTGAAAATTTACAAAAGAGTTTTTTTTGCTTGTTTAAAACGCTAGAAGAAAAAGTGCTCTTCTCGTTGTAATCGCTACTGGATCGTGATGTAAATTTAACTAATTAAATAATAAAAGTTGATTCCGAAGCACGTAAAACATCTCGTGTAGCCCTACAATATAAAGATCTTTTATGTAAAAGGGTCCGTGATAAAGGAAATGGGTAGAGGTAAGCTCACTTCGAATACAACCCTTTGTAGGCGGAAATTGTAATTCGCTGTGGACACCATACTTTGTGTGAGCAACATAAAATATATTTTCTGGTTATTGTCAATTTTCAATCTCGAGATTCGATATTGAAAATTAATAGTGTGAAATAAAAATATCACGTATCAAAGTTGGGAATTTTGATCGAAATTCCTGACGGTACCTACGGGGTAAATAACGCATTTTTAACGTCAAACCGAGTGTAATTCGTGAAAGTGTATCGTAAAGTTTTACTTTCAGATTTACAGCCAATCTTTAAAAGAAACGTACTCGTAAAAACATCACATTAAACAAGAAAACCTTAATCGGATGTTTAATTTTTGGAGCATATTTTAGCTAGTATTTTCTTTATACGTAGAACGTTTTTATAATAAAAAGAATGTTAATAGAAAACAAATAAAAGACAACAGATACAATGATAAAAGATGGGGCGGATCGGCAAAGAAGCTCACACGTATCAAGAACATTATCGAGATGGCCGTCGGAGGATCTGACTCTCAGAAGAACGATCATCCTCACCCGATTAAGTATAGGCCATGCGAGGTTGACACACGGACATTTACTTTTGGGTCTAAGCCCAAGTATGTGCCCCGCATGTAGGTTGCTCAATGTGTACATCCAAATTGAAGGGTCGACCCTCATTTAGGTTAGTTGTATAATATTTAAGGAATATCAAGTACTCCATCACCCTAACTTAGTGAATGGTATATAAATTGGAAAGAATGTACAATATTTAGGAGTGAGTGGGTTTAGATATTGAGACTGATTTCGTTTTGGGCTAAAATGACCTAGTTGTTAACAGCACCTACAGCACAACCTCGGGTGTTGGCAGTCCGAGGTCATCCTTGGTCATGTCCGTCCTGCCGCCGAGGTTGGGCTCCAGGGACAGCTAGGTCATTTCAGTCCCCAGGGAAATCAGTGCCTGAACACATTCACACTCTCACTTACTCTTAAATACATTTTTTCATATTTACATACCATTTACACAGTTAGGTATTCGATATTCCTCCATCACCCTTTAGATATATTGCAACTACCTAATTGAGGGTCGATGGGGTACTCGATAATTCGCCATAGACTCTCACACATTACACATTCACGCTAATAAATACATTCACTTTTTAACATGCGCTAGGGACACGAAAGAATACTCACATCACTACTACAATGAGCGGCAACAAAAGTGGCCACTCTCGTTTTTTAAGTAAATATTTGCAATCGTTACAATTTTTAGTTTTTGTTGTTTACTGAATAGTTTTAAAGAAAAATGTAAGATATAGTTAAAAAAATTAAACGGAATAAAACAATTATACCAAACATTTTTCTACGGAAACAATGAAGAAAATATTCAATTCAGTACGGAGTTTTTCTTCCTCTTGCGTTGATCACCGCTTACATTCAGCTTGCATCGATTTTATGAGGTTTTGTATGTAGTGGTGGAATATTTTCAAGCTCTTCCAACAGCGCCGTTCATCTTCATTCCTGCATATGCTTTGGCATCACTCGGCGACTTTTTACCCTTTTTGACAACTCGTCCCCAAGGTGTTCGATAGGTTTAAGTAGGGGAAAACATGCTGGCCACCCCAAACATTGAATTGAAGCCCGTTCCAAATAGTCACCTCAAATCATAGCTGTGTGGGGCATTGACATGCATAAAAATAAAAACGTCGCCAATTAGAGGCAGATAAGGAACAACTTCTTCTGATAACACGTCTTCAATGTATCGCGCAGTTGTAAGGAAACCCCTTGATGAAGTTCAAATTTGTGCTACCTTCCATAGAAATGCCTGCCCAAACTATGACACAACCACCTCCAGAGCTTTGCAGAGTGAAAATATTGGGGATATATAGCTCTCCTGATCTTCTCCAAACCCGCTTTTGACCTTCAGGAGACCTCAAATATAAAACAATCAAATCGCCGGAAACGTTAGAAAGAAGCATTAAAAAAAGAGAGAGAAAGTGAGTGAGAGAGGGAGATTATTCAAAGATTTATTTACAAAATCTCATTGTTAACCCAAGTGGGAGATTTTATTTGTGATTTATTTACCTTTAATCCATTAAAACCGATCAAATATTGTTATAAGGAAATCAATGGATGATCATCAAAGAGATAATATTAAGGGTGGCCTTTTTTACCACCCAGTAAAGTATAGAAGATCTCAAAACAGAGGAACAGGGGGGCCCAGAAACTCGCTGCCGCGCTCAAGCACGATTCTCATATCGGGTTTCTCATATTTCTGCATACTCTCTATATGGAGCCAAAGTATTCCACCCTTCAATTAGGTGGACACATCGAGCAACCTTTTTCCTACATGGCAAACAGACATGTGAGTTTTAGGCCCTATAGGAATAACACAGATTATTTATTTATGTAAGGATTTGTTTTATTTAATTGTTTCTATAGATAGAAGATTTGTAAAATTGTTGTAATTAATAATTTTTTTGTTAAAGATCCAATACAGGAAAAAGAAGATGGTTACTCTTTTGAATACAGCCCTGTAGGTGAAACTTGTTTTTATATTAACGGATTATTTTATAAATTAGGCTAGACGTTTTAATTTTAATTTTATTATTTATTGTATTATTTAATATGTTATAAAAATAGCTCTAGAGACTACTTGGTGACAGCGTCAAAAAGGTCAACAAATGCGAGCTGAGATGGGTTTTAAAAATTAAACATTAATGAAGACTGTGCAGTAGAAAGAGAAAAGATACAATATTATAATCAGTGAAATATTTACTTATTTTCTCATTTATATTTTAATAGAATCAAATGTAAAAAATAAAATTTAAAATAGCTGCCATTTTATGAAAATGAACCTTGCGAAATTTTAATTTGAATGAATTGCTTTCTGCAAAAGACCACAATTAAACAGTTGGTGAAAAAGCAAAAGCTACATCATTACGGAATTATCTCCTTTGGTTTTATTGTGTTGAAGCTCAAATTACCCTTTAAGCTTTGTTAACCGTGACTCACTATTGTTCTAGTAAGTCACGACTTTAGGGGCTTAGCGAAAAATTTTAATTGCGGAGAAAAGAACACTCTTGAGTTTTCACTATGTCCAATTCCTGCTTTCGCCATTGCAATGTTACCACGTCCCCAATCATGTTTTCTATATGCTGTAAGGTTCGCTCTTTAGGTGGCGGAGTCGTTAATTGATGATCTGCTTTAATGCTTCAGGCATATTAATTAAGCATTGTTTAAGAATGCCTAAGGTTTGCTTCAACTCTTCCACTTTTAACATTACCAGATCATAACAATCGCTGTTGTTAGCAATGGGAACCCAAACAGTAAACTCAACAGGAGAGACGTAGGAAATTGGAATCCTTGGTTAAGTCCCACTGGAAGGTCATTGTATGGCATTGTAAGTTCATCGCAACTCAATCTAAAAAATTTGGTCTCAATGATGGATATGAGTCAATTGAGCCTTACGCAATGATAATGTTCACATTTGTTTAAAAAGTTTACATATTTTGAAGTATATAATTCACTGTGATTATATACATTGTATAAACATATATAAAGTTATATTTATATAATATATAAATATTCTCCAATTATTTTATTACAAATGAAATTCAACTGAAAACCAATCCATAGAGGAAAATAAGTAAAAGTATGTAATGAAGAACCTGTCCAAGGAGATGGCGACAAGAGTGAACACCGATGCTGCCACGCTGACGTTGGCGACGAAGTTGTTGAAGGTGCAGTAAACTGCGCCGAATGGCCAGTGTGAATCCAGCATGAATGTGAAGTTGAATATGCAATTGAAGAGGCTCATTAGCAGATCTGAGACGCTGAGGTTCACGAGGAAGTAGTTGGTGACGGTTCTCATTCTTCGATGAGCTACAACAGAACACAACTTCATCACTATTTCATTTAAACTAATAACATAAATGCTCCAAAAACAATTGGCGAGTTTATCTTTAATATAAAACCTCGTTGTTTAATATTTCTGTTTCCCCTTATACATCGTTTAAACGTTCCTATATCAAAGGATAAAACGGCTTGATTTTATTCACTTGGTGACACCGTGTTAACAAAGAGCTTTTTATAAAGACTTTCCTCCCAATTATTTCCTCAAATGTTTCCCTTTGATATTTGCGCATATAGAACATTTATTTTACTCAGTATATATTTATGAGATGTTATTATTATTTGCTTAATGTTAAATCTGCAAAATCAATGGTTATATTGCTACAGCAAAGATCTTTTCTGACAATCTCAATACACCAATCTTTCAAGCACCCTGCTTGTCTGCCTCTCACACTTAACACCTTATTCTCCCTTCTTTTTATATATTTTTAACCTCCCTATTTATTTTCTCTTTCATCCTCTCTCTCTGTCTCTCCTTATCTATTTTCTATTAATGTATGTCTATTTAATTATTTATATATTTATTTATTGCTCATTCCCCGACAACAATAAGATTTTTTTGAGATGACCTTTGTCGATCATAACTCTATCTTCCTTAGTATTTTACGCACTCTCTCTCTTTCTCTGGGCCTCTCTCTCTCTTTCTATCTATGTCTATCTATCTATTTATCTATCTCTAATTATCGATTACAATAGATTAAGTTTGTTCTGAGATAGCTGATATGATACGTTTATTTGTAATATGTCCATAAAGTAGCATTCTCTCTATCTCTCTCTTTCTCTTTTTTTCTCAGACTTACTCTTTTAGATATTCTTTTATACTCTCGCTCTCACTTTTTCTTTTTTTCTGAAACTCACTCTCTTTCATTCATGACCTCAAACTCACTATCTTTCTTTACTGACTTCCATCTCACTTTCTTTCATTATCTCTCTCGCTCTTTCAGTCCATTTGTTTATCTGTAATTCTCACTCTATACATCTCTCATCTATCATCGCTATTTCGATCCCTCTTCTCTCTCTATTTTTCTATCTATCATTGATGCTCAATCTATCTGCACATCTCACTAATTACTCGACATATGTTTTATTTCTATCCGTCTCACTCTCTGTTTCTCAATATTTCTTTTCTAGACTGTCTTTTTCCCACTCTCTCCTTCTTACTTTTTCTTTCATGACCTCAAACTCACTCTTTTTTTTTGTCTCTCTCTCTTCTTCTCTCTGTCAGCCTATTTATTTACTGGTGATTCTCTCTCTATATGTCTGTCATCTATCGTCTCTACATCCATCTCTCTTCTCTCTTTTCTATCTATCATTAATACTCTATTTATTTGCATATTTCAGTAATCATTCTTCGTATGTCATCTCTATTTCTCTCTCTCTCTCTCTCTCTCTCTCTCTCTCTCTCTCTCTCTCTCTCTTCTCTATCTCTTTCTTTTGTTAGATTTTCTTTTTTCACACTTTTATTGACTCGTTTTCACTCTTTCTTTCGTCATCTCAAACCCTCTGTCTTTTCTTTTTTTCTCTTTTTCCATTTCTCCGCCTATCCATTTATCTGTAATTCATCCTATACGTCTTCCATCTATCGTCTCTATCTCCATCCCCTCCTCTCTCTCTATTTTTCTATCTATCTTCGGTGCTTTATCTATCTGAATAACTGACTAACCACACTGATATGTCATCTTTGCCTTATTTTAACACAAACTCTTTTGCACACACACACGCACGCACGCACTCACTCACTCACTCACTCCGTCCTTGTTTATTTTGAAGTATTATTCTTTGTGAAAATTTATAGAAGTGTTGTGCTGTTTAATTTTTATACTAATATATTCGTACAGAAAAATATTATTTTTTAAAATAATATCTAGAATTATATTTCCTTTCATCTAAATTGCTTATCTATATTCATCCGTGCAAAATTATAGTGTCCTGTATATTTTATTTGTTTTAACAAAAGTTCATTGGTTGTTCCCTCTGCCCACACATCTTCCCACGTACATGGAGTAAAGCCGGTGGGTTGTGTACCATATAACAGACGTCTGCCGCGCATCATGAGAAAAAAAAACCCTTAGTCATTGGTGTTTATGTTTATCTTATTTTATATGATCATTCGCTGGCTTGTAATTACAAATTAATCTACTTTGAACTTTGATCGAATTCCAGTAAGATATTTGAAAGTGTCAAATTGAATAAGGGTGTTTTAACAAGAATGAAATGATTATTATTAGTATTTAAATATTCAAGGTTTAAATAAAAATATTAAAAGTTTTTAATGAAAAATGAACGTTACTTCATAAGTGAACATGAGATTCTATCTACGAAAATGGTCACAAAGGAAATATATTTTGTTACATAATACACACGAATCTTTTTTTTTTCCCCAGACAAAAATTAATTTATAATAACACTAGATTTTTCTAATTTATTTGCAACTTTTGCCTTTGATTGGATTGTAATCCATTCCATGGACTTAATATAAAGTACTATTCTGTGTCTTAAATAAATTTGCTGGACATTGACGGAAGAAACTTTGGTCGTTTCACTAATGATTTGCTTTTCACAGAACCAACTGAGAATATCTCTTCATGACTTTTAAAGATTTAAAGCTTTCAGACACAATTGTAAGATTTATCAGATTGTTAGCACTGACAGGATCAGCTTATCTGGTGTCGGTAATATTTTATTGTAATTTTCAATATTTAATTGAGACTCAATACTGCACACATTGACCCAGGGAGACTTACGTACGTGTATTTTGGTGACTTTCACATTTTAATAATTGACTTTTGTGCAGTTCTATTCCATGTAATTAAATAACAGGAAAATCCCTGAAAGACAGCTAATATGGAAAACTAGGTACCCATAATTTTTATTTTGTCATCCAATGTGCCAGGAGCCATTTCCTTCATTTTTGCTAAAAAGCCAATATTAAAAAAAAATCGACGAAGACCAGCTGAAAAATAATCGATATAATAACAATAATGATGTCACTCAGATAATTGAATTGTCTATTATTTCAATATAATAAAATACTAATGCCCAGTATTTCATTATCCTTCTTTATATAAAAAGAAAATAAAAACAAAAGAGAATTAAATAGCTGTATTTAGTTAAACAGGAAAAGCGATAACTCCTTAATTGCGTTGCTTTGACACTAAATAATTAAAATAAAAATATTAATTGTTATCGGCGCAAACTTCATAGAACGTAATTTCACACTTGGAAACATATATCTATAAACAAAAAAGTGAATCATTAATAAGGCCAACATCGCAAATGGTAATTTAATTTACCAAACCTTGACGAGTTTTCCCTCTCTAAAATTCCCTTTTTTGCACATTCTCGTAAAATAGTTTAGGAAAGTCTTGAAATTATTACTGTTTAAAACTTAATATAACCTATGTAAAATAAGTTATTTAAAAGAATTTAAAATAAAAGATTACTGCTAAGAGGATCAATGGAATTACAAATTCCTTGTAAAGATATTTGTACTGTAGTTTATTTTTTATTTATTTACAGTCCAAACAGGTCAGGTACCCAAGGACAGTCAACAACACAACAAATCAATCATTAAAATATAACTATTAAAAAAGAATATAAAAATAAAAATAAAGAAAAAAAGAAGGGCCAACACTTTTAACAAACAAATCAACATTATAAATGGATGTTTATTAATTAACACAATAAAATTAATAAATAAACCCACATTTACACTTTAAAGCTCGTTCTATATTTTCTTAAAAGGTTGGGGGAGTCAGTGGCCGCAACGGTTAGGCGTTGACACGGCGCCCATCATTGTAAGGTAAAGGTCCGGGGTTCGAATCCAGCGGCCCTGCAATCGAACCCGACTTACTTTCAAATGGGCTTTTTTCAAAAACAACGACACCCTGAGGGTTTATGGGGTATATATATATATATATATATATATATATATATATATATATATGTCAGTCAGGGACGGGGAGAAGGGGGTCCGCACTGATATCGAATTTATTTGTTATGCACGGCTGTGGATTATTGAAGACTCTGACCCGTAGTTGGTCCTGTGCCGTGAAATACCAAATAATTCATCGGTCCGTAGGTGACGCTGGGGGACCCTAAATAGACTATAAGACAATATCTCCGGGGAGTAAATGAAATTATTTAGGATCTTCCGCAGAATCATGACGGAAGCAAAAACTCTTCTATCCGCCCGAGAATCTTGGCCTACTAGAGCAAGTTCATAGAGGTACTTCCGGTGATTGCATATCTTGCACAACAGGAATTTCGTGTTCTTTCTCTGCACCCTTTCTATCATGTAAGAACCATCTAAAGAACCCGGCGACCAAACAACACTGGTGCCTGCGCACGCCTGAGTACGAATCCTAAATTTTTAAACGGTTTATTCCTAATGGCATGGATGTAGTCCCGAAAATGACAATTCTTATTAAAAACAACCCCGAGTTCGAGATCCGACCTCCTCGATATGAGAACCTTCAATACTATAATCGAATTGATTGTAAATAATCTCGTGAATAATCTTTTTCCTGGAGAACATTAAAACCTTACATTTATTTTCGTTTAGTTTGAAATTATTACGCGTAAACCAATGCCAGAAGCTTCTCGAGTAATTTTGTAAGAGAATGCCATCATTTATCTATTCGGCAGGGCGATAAATTTTCAAATCGTCTGCTAACGGTGAAAATAAAAGATTAAGCAGAACAGAGGTGTCGTCATTACAAAATAAAAGAAATAAAATCGGATCAGAATGAGAGCTCTGAGTCACACCAGATCGTACGTGGACAGGTTTCGATAAGCTTTCACTAAATCTTACAACAAAAGACCTCTCAGACAAAAAGGAGTCTACCCATCCCAACTTAGCCCACACCTAGTGTTTGGATTTTTTTTGACCAGGATGAGACGATGCACGCTCTCAAAGGCTTTTGATAAATCCGTATACACCGAGTGAACACGTTTACCAAGCTCTAGAT